GGTTTGCAAATGTGGGCGTTCTATTCGAAACGACTCGCACTCCCCCGCGTCGACCGCCCCGAACTTTGAAATTGGGGCCGGGGGGTTGGACCCGCTTCAACACGCATTCGAGATGGGCATTTCTTCGAAAACCACGGTGTCCTTGCCCGTAGGCGGCCGAAGGTAGCGTTCCTTGCATCCGGATGCTGCTGCTCAGATCCTGCATCCTCCCAGCCCCCTCCCCCCAACACGATACCTGTGTTCCCAGAGATCCGATGCCGTGATTTTTTCCATGCGCGGTCCCCAGAAGCCTCGACCCAGTCCCCAGGACCGCTGTTTCCTCCCGAGTCGTTTCTCCGACGGTCCCGGGGCCCCGCGAGGGCCCCTATAGGCTATAGGGGTCGAGATCGGCGAAAAAGTCCTCCGCCTCGACTTTTCCAGACGCTGCATCGCTGGGCTCCTCGGCTGCTGCACTTGTCCGCTCCCCCAGGACCCCTTCGGGCGGGAGGGCGCGCCGGAGGACTGCGCCGCCGCCCCGCGGCGGCCCCTCGCCGGCGCGGGCGCGCTGGCCGGAGCGTCCTGCCCGGAGAGCTGCCTGCGGAGAGCCGCCGTGCTCGTGGAGCAGCCGCTCATGCGGAGAGCCGAGAACTCACCGCCCACCAAGCCACCCCAACCCAACCCGACCCTGGCTCCTGATCCGCCGTACTTTGGATGATTTTCCGACCTAAAATTGTGTCGGAAATCGACGCCAAAGGAGCCTCAAGGGCGGAAATCGACGCTCAAAGGGGCCTTAAAAGTAGGGCGGAAATTTCCGCCCTACTTTCGAAATCGCCCAAAGTAGGGCGGATCAGGCGTCAGGGGAAGGCTCAGATTTACCCTCGATTTCCAGTGGGGGGGGGGGGGGTCGGGAAGCATCGAAAAAAACACGTGCGGAGCTCTTACCCCCCCCCCACCAACCCGAAATGTGGGTCTTCGGGTTGGGTTGGGGTGGTCTGGTAGGTAGTCAAAGACAAGCCGCCGCCGGGGCTCGAGGGGCGGGGGGCTCGATGCAGACCCAAGGATCCAGCGCACTGGGAAAATCAGGACGGAGGGTTTGTCGCAGTCTTCGGCCTCAGGGAGCCTCCGCCGCGTCCCGGGAGCGTCGAAAAACGACGCGGGAGGAAGAGCGGGACTCAGGAGGAATGGGTCGAGACTTCCAGGCATCCTGCATTGAAAAAATCACAACGTCGGCTCGTTGGGGACGGGGGTCAGTCCGAGCGCCAGGTCTTGCAGGATCCTGCAGGGCCAGGGTCGCATTGATCCGGGCTTGGGTGCAGGATCCTGCGGGATTCTGCAAGGCCTGACTGGCCCAGGTCTGGATTGATGCGGGTCAGAAGATCCCCGCCGCCACCAGCGCAGAGTTTGGGGGATCCGCGCGGATCTCCCCTGCAATCCGAGCGCCGCGTGCCTTTTTTGTGTGTTGTCGCACTGGGCGTTTTCGCCCGGTCTGTTTGACCTGGGGCCCAAACGGATGGATCCAGCTCGAGAAATGCCGCGGAAAGATGGGCCAAGGTCGACAGTCGTGATCTCCCACGATGTTTCGATTTTTCCGCCACGTTGGGGGCGGCAAGTAGTTCATAAAACCGATGAAGAGTAGATCCACTGCGTGGATCGCTGTTCCAGGAAGCTCGCAAATCCACTGCACGGATAGCTGCTCTGGGAAGGTGCTTCACACCTACATTCCACACCCCGGATTCTCTGATTCTGTGCCGCCCCCCCCATCTTCACCACCCACCAAACCACCCCAACCCAACCCGAAGGGTCAGATTTACCCTCGATTTCTAGTGGGGGGGGGTCCGGGAACATCGAAAAAACACGTATGGAGCCCATACCCCCCCCAACCCGAAATTCGGGTCTTCGGGTTGGGTTGGGGTGGTCTGGTAGGTAGTCACATCTTGGGTCGGCGCACATCCCTTTCCCGGCGCGCTGAGCGGCTCAGCGCGCCGGCGGCGCCGCCGCCGGGGGTGTGGCCAGGGGTGTCCAGCGCCGACCCGAGCGGCCCGCGCGGCCCTCCACGGGCGTGTGCTCGGCCCGGCCTCGTGTTTTCGCGGCTCTCTGTGATGGCCGTGTTCCCGACCTTCGCCAGCCCGGAGGAGCTCAGGGGCAGTGAAATCGGGGACTATAGGCTCAGGGTGCGCGGCGAGCGAGGGGTGGAAGCGAGAAGGAGGAGGCCTTCCCGGAAGGCGGCGGGACTCCTCAGAAGCCCTCGCGCCTCTGACAAGTTTTCTGCGCCTGTGTGGGAACGCTTGGGAAACCTCCCAGAAGGCCGGGGAACTTGCGAGCCCTCTGAGAAGGCCCGCCTCCTTTCGCTTCCCCCACGGGCGCGCCGCCGCCAGGGGGAATGCATCGACTCCACTCGCCCAGTGATCGCCGATCGGGGTCTGATAGCTCCACCCCGCCCAGACGTCCGGATCCGCTATCCAGGGGCGTATCGCCGATACCGGCGATGTGTCGCCGATTCCACGTCGATGCCCCCCCCCCCCCCCCCACGAGCCAGCCCCCCCGTACAGTCAACCCGCATAGCAAGAACGGGCATCCTTCCCAAGGCTCCTCCTCCTGCTCCTCCTCCTCCTCCTCCTCCTCCTCCTCCTCGTCGTACCCTTGCCTCCTTGCCTCCTCGGTCCATCCTCGGCCACTCTCGCGGGCCACGCCCCGCTCGGAAAGCTCCGAAATGGGCGTCCCCAAGGCCCTTACAACAAAAATTACACCCGAGAAAGCCCCAATCAGTGGATGATTTGAAAATTAATACGATGTATCTTGATATTGATAATGAGATCGATAGTGGAATCGATAACTAGTGAGGACGATTGTAAGATCGATCGTGAGACCGAGAGTGAAATCGATTCAATGAGATCGATAGTGAGAGCGATCGCGAGATCGCTCATGCGATCTCTAGTGAGATCGCTCGTGAGATCGATAGTGAGATCGATTGTGAGATCGATGGTGAGATCGATAGAGAAGTTGGTAATGAGATCGATGGTGAGACCGATCGATAAGAGGATTGACCAGGAACCCGGGAACACGGGAACATCGCCGCCCTCCGAAATCGGCCTGGAACCCAGAACCGGGAACCCGGGAACCCGGAACCGGGAACTTGGGAACCCAGCGTGCGACCCCAATCGGCGGGACATGTTCGCCAAATCTTTCCACTCCCGCGAGGACACATTCAGAGTGCAAGCGCATCCACGCTTACACGTGGGGAAAAAATCCCTATCGCGCACCCTCACTGCACGAGCTGACTGTATCCCAGACGTGCGATGCCTTGATTTTTTCAGGACGGCGTCCCTGGAAGTCCCGACCCCTCCCCAGGGCCGGCTTTTTTCGTCCCCCGTCGTCTTCTGACGGCCCCCACTGCCCGGGCGAGGCCCTCCCCGGGTGCCGAAGATAGCGAAACGCTTGCCGTTTTATATATATATATATATATATATATATATGTGTATGTATAATTTATTTATATATATATATATATATATATATATATATATGTGTGATGTTTTTTTAACGACGCGATCCTGTCTGGGATCGCGGGCCCTCAGGAGTGCGCCCGGCTGATCGAGGTCGGCTTGCGGATCTGCAGGCCTCGAGCAGGGGATCGACTGCAGCACCGATTTACCCCAAAAGATTGATGCCCCGCCGAATCTGCGAGACTGACCGGCAATGCTCCGTACATCTCTATGACTACTCTGCGTCTTGTCTCAGGGGTTCGACGGGAAAATGCATGTTTTGGGGCAAATCTCAATTCTGTAGCCGATCCCTCCTCCTCCTCCTCTCCTCCCCCCTCCTCATCCTCCCCCTCCTCCTCCTCCCCCCTCCTCCTCACCTCCTCCTCCTCCTCCTCCTCGTCCTTCCTCCTCCTCTCCTCCTCCTCCCCTCCTCATCCTCCTCCTCCTCCTCCTCCTCCTCCTCCCCTCCTCCTCCTCCTCCTCTCCTCCACCCCCTCCCCCTCCTCCTCCTCCCCCTAGGTGGCTCAGGCCGTGGCCGAGGGGTCGGCCCGCTTGCCTCAGCCCCCAGCCGTCACCCGTGTTCAGCGGGCGTCGGTGAACATTCCGTTTCCCCCGCCAGAGACCGCTCGGGCGCGATCGCCCGCGTGGCATCGGCGGGTTCGCCGAGCGCGCGCGGCCGCCCGCCTGCTCCTGAGGCAGGCCCGCGCTCGCGCCGTCCTCGCAGGACATCACGGCGAGCACGCTGCTGGCGGTGGCGTCCGTGGCTCGATGGCGCCAGGCGCTGCGGAGGCCCCTCGCCCGTGGGCGACGGCCGCAGGAGGCGCCGACGGAGCAGCGGATCGCCAGTGGGCTTGCGTCGCGACCAGGCTCTGCGGCTTCAAGACCAACTTCGCTTCGAGGTCGTCGTGCTGGAAGTGCGGGCGCGATTGGCAGGGGCGCAGGCCTGCTGGATCGGAAGCCCCTGCACGCACGCGGTCGGCCTCTGCTGCGGCTGATCGCCGTCGCCGCCGTGATCGTGACGCTGATGGCGGAGAGCGGGCTGAGCGGGCCAGGGACCAGCTGGAGGAGTCCCAGGCCGTGGTCCGAGCCCGCAAGGGGCTCGCCGCTCTCCGCCGCCTCAAGTACGACGAGGATCACCCGCTGGTCGTCGCAGCCGCTCGGGAGGTCCAGCTCCTGGAGGCCGAGGAGCGGAAGACGCGCCCGCCTGAGGATGTGCTGCGCAGCGCCCAGGATCGCCTCGCCCTCAAGTCGAAGGAGAAGCTCGACGTGGACACGCAGCTGGCCGAGGCGGAGGAGCGCGTGGCTACCTTGCGCCAGAAGGCCAGCGCCTTGTCGGAGGACGTGGAGTCGCTGCAGAAGGAGGTCCTGGAGGCGCGGCAGGCGGTCACCATCGCCACGGCAGGGTACCAGGGCATGGACCTCGCGGCCGTGGCGACCAACCTGCTCAACCTCCAGATGCTCATTAACAACGCAGAGGGCTCGGTTGCGTCGGGCCAGGGCTTGCAGCTGCTGCAGTCGATCCACGCCGAGGTGTAGGCCATGGGGGTGGCCTTCCCTGCCTCGCGGGCCGCGGCCTTGGCAGCCGGCGCCGCTGCATCGGGCCCCCCTCCGCCGGGCAGCACTCTGGCTGCTCCGACGGCACCGCTGGGTGGTCCTGCGGCCACAGCTGGTGCGGCGCCGCTGGCGTCGGGGGCCCACGCAGCGGCCGAGCCGCCCGCGAGGAACGACGTGGTCATGGGCAGTGCGTCCCCTGCGGCGGCCATGGCGTTTCGCCCTCCCCCTAGCGCCCCTGGGGGAGGACTCGGGGCAGCCGCGGCCAGTGCAGGCCCACCGCAGCCTGAGCTCGCGCAGTTGGGCTAGGCATCGTGCGCCGCGGAGGGCGCGCAAGAAGCAGATCACGCTCGCCTCCTTCAACGGCTCCTGCTGGCTCAGCTGTCGGCAGTTTCTGGAGCAGAGCGCGGAGGGCATCATGGTCGTGGCGGCCCAGGAGTTGCGTGTGGATGCTGGGGATCTGCAGGCAGCGACGCTTTGGGCTTCGCGTCACGGCTGGAAGGCGTATATTTCGGCGTGCCGTCGGTTGGAGTCGGGTAAGCCTAGTGCGGGAGTAGGCTTGTTCATCCGCGATTTCATATCGACACGTCTGTTGGAGATGCCTGACGGCAGACAGAGTTTTGAAGTTGTACCATCGTGGAGTGCGGCAGTTCATGCTGATCTTGGCCTACCTGGGGGAGTGATTCTCGGCTCTGTGTATGTAGAATCTGTGCCAGATCATGCGCACCTGTCTCGCAATTTTCAGAAGCTGACGCGTCTCGGGGAGGTGCTCAGGTATTATGCTCGTCCGTTTCTCATTGCAGGAGATTGGAACACCACGGCTAGTGAGCTCGAGGTAACAGGTATCCTTGATATCTTCCCTGCCCAGTGTGTGTGTGTGGTGCCTAGCGGTGAGGGCACCTGTCGCTCGCCTCAGGGGAATGATCGTGCTATCGATTTCTGGCTCGCCAGTCCTTCTCTCGCGAAGGCGTGTCTGGACCCACGTTGTGCTCCTGACTGGGCGGCCAGACCCCACTTCCCCATCCTGCTCGATCTCTCGGCCCATCCTCGGGAGATGCAGCATCTCTGCTTTCAGGGTCCCAAGGCCTTCCCCAGGCTCCCTCCCGAGTTTGCGGGATGTCACCCTTTGGAGGGCCCCCAGAGCCCCAGCCATATTTGGATGTGCTCGCTGAGGATTCTGCTCTTGGGGTGCCCTCCGACACGAGTCAGCTTGCTCCTAGGTTGGACGCGTTGTACGGTTCCTTCTGTTCCATGGTGGAAGCTGATTTGTGTCACATTTATCAAGTGAACGATAAGGGGCGATATCTGGGGAGGTCTGAGGGCCCTAGGTATGTTTGGCGACCCGTAGGAGGACTGCCCACCCACGGGAAGCCCGCTAGTGTGCCTGAGGCTAGGCTGTTTAGGGACATCGGTCAAGCCATAGCTGATTATGCCGTGGCCTTGGATAGGCCTCAGGGGATCGGACTTCGGGCTCAGAGGCTCCATCGGGCTTTGAAAGCGGGGCGTATTCGCGATGTGTGCTCCGAGCGTGGCCTCGATCTCTTTCAGGGCTTACCATTCCTACTCGATGCTGCTGCTGCTTGCCCTATGTCCGTAGCTATTGGCCCGCGAAATTGGCCTCCACCCCTTTCCTCGCGTTCCCCCCCCGTCCCCCCCTCCCTCTCGCTCCCCCCCCCACTCCCCCGTTCCGCCCTACCTTCCCGCGCCAGTTCCTCTTCCGCAGAACTTCCTCCTACCCCCCTCACCCCCCCCTCCCCCCCCCCTCCCCTCCCTCCCCACCGTAGCCCCACCTAGCCCCCCAACCCATCCTTCCGTCTCATCCCCGCCCTTCACTCCGCACGTCTCTCTCCTCCTTTCCGCCTACCCTCCTCTACGTCTCCCGTCTTCACTTTCCTTGGCGGTGTCAGACGCCGCGCATGGTCATGCCGAGTCGCTGGAGACGGCAGCTGCGGCTGCCAGGCGCAAGGCTTTCTTCAAGTGGGCCAGGGACGCGCTGGTCACCTCGCCCACGCAGGTCTTCAACTATACGAAGTTGCGCGGCTGGACTCACTCGGAGTCGTCTGCCAGCACGTCGGTCCAGGCCTCACCTCGCTTGCGGTCGCAGGCTCAGGAGGTCGCTGACGGGCAGATGGACCTGTGGTGCGGCATCTGGCAGGGCACGGCGCTGGGATCTTCGGCTCCTGTGGCTGAAGTGGCGGACCCTGAGTTCGATGTTGGACATCTCTTGCCTGCAGATTCCTCCAGCTGTGAATTGGCTGCACTGCTTCGAGATCTGCCTTCTGACCACCTCCCAGTGCCGAAGGTAGTTGACGTCAGGCGCGCGGCGCGTACTTTCCCTTGGCGCACGGGTACTGGCCCCGGTAAGCTGTCCCCTCGTGCGATCTCGCTGCTGGGCGACGAGGCTCTGGCGTTTCTTGTTTACCTGATGTGGGCCATCGAGACGTGGCATCGGTGGCCTACGCAGATGATGATGGCGCACATCGTGCTTCTCAGCAAGGAGGGCGGGGGCTTTCGCCCGATCGCGCTCCTGCCCTCGGTCTACCGTGTGTGGACCAAGCTGAGGCTGGTGTACGTGCGGCGCTGGGCACGTGATCACGCGCGCCCTTACTTCGCCATGGGAGCGAAGAAGTGCACAGTCGACGTGGCGGCGAGGCTGCTGGTGCGGCTCGAGGCCGCCGCTCGTCACCCTGATCTAGCAGTGGTCACGGCACTGGTGGATATCAACAAGTGTTTCGATCGAGTATCGTGGCGCAAGCTCGTTGTGGCTGCTCAACGCTACGGTTTCCCGACGACGATCCTTCGCATGGCTCTGCTCATGTATCACGCACCTCGTCGGCTGTCGTGGGCGGGGACCTTTTTCATATGCCGCGACGGTGCTACAAGGCGTGTTGCCTGGCTGCACCGACGCGATGTTTTTCTTGCAGCTGCTGTTCCTGGAGCCTCTGGACGCGTTCATGGAGGAGACGGCTCGGCTGCCTCGTAGTCTCGACATCTACGCTGATGACCTCACGCTGCAGATCGTCATGAAGCGCGTGGACATCATTCGGGTCTCGGCGGAGACGCTGGCGCTGCTGGCGGACACGCTGCGGGGCCTGGAGCTGCCGATCGCGGTGAGCAAGGCCAAGGTGATGGCCACGGACATGCCGCTCGCCACCTCGGTCGCTCGTCGTGTTCAGAAGCATGGCTTCAAACCCGTCTCCGTTTTCAAGGTGCTGGGCATGGAGGTCGCTGGTGGCAGGCGGCTGCGCTACGGTGTGGTCGGGAAGCGCGTGCGCAAGGTGACGGCGCGCATGCCGCGCTTTCGGCGCCTGCGCGGGCTCAGGACGAAGGAGTACAGGCAGGTCACTTCTCCGTCCCTTGGGCCCGGCATGACGTGCGGGCTGCAGGTCACCAGCGCGCCGCCGCACTTGGTGAAGCGCATGGCGGCCTGTGTGCGTGACGGCTGGGCCAAGACACCTGCGGCGTCTTCGACGTGGGTAGCTTCGCGGCTCGAGCCCTCCTGAAGGCAGCATCCTGACTGCCTTGCTGCGGCGGGCCCTGTCCAGACATGGGCGCGCATGGTGGCGGCTCGCTCGGTCCCCCTGGAGGTGCTTCAGGACGCCTGGCAGCTCCAGACGCCGCGAGTGTTGCTGGCCAAGGAGCCGTGGAAGATGGTTGTGGGCCCTGCTGGAGCGCTGGCACTGCAGCTGCGCAGACTTGGCTGGACAGCATCGTCGGCACACCTGTGGCGCACGCGGCGCGGCATCGCGCTCGACTTGACCGAGGTCTCGCCGGCTTGGGTGCGCACCTTGGCGCTGCGGGACTACGAGCTTGACGGCTGGCGTCAATGGGCTCAGCGGGAGGAGCAGGCGCCTGAGGACCCTGCTTGCCGCGTCCCCAGAGCCCCTGACGGCTACTGGGTCGAGCCGATCCGTGCCCTCTTTGCAGATGCCAAGGGGCGTGCTAAGTGGAAGCTGTCGCCGTTGGCCATGGCAGCCCTTCGCTCCACCATGATTGGTGGCCAGTGGTCGCAGCAACGCCCTTTTGCAGCATGGCTACTCTTTGTTTCAGGAATGTCAGGCCTGTGGTGCGGTGCCTGGTTGTCTGCATCACCGATTTCATCGATGCCCGCAGTGCGAAGAGGCACGCGTCGAGGCCATAGATGCCCCTCACTTGGAGCGGGCCCGTCACGCTCCGACGCAATGCCCCTTCTTCCAACGCTGCCTCTTTCCAAGGTCTTGGCTTCCTGAGCTGCGACCCCCTTGTATGATTGAAAGTTGGGGGTATGAGCTTAGGGCCTTAGGCCCTCTAGATGTCACTGGTACTGTTTTTACGGATGGCTCAGGCCGCATCCTCCCTTTTTGGCCCGAGTCGGCCCGTGCGGGCTGGGGTTTCGCTGTCATGGCTGGGGCCTCGCTAAGAGGCCAGGCGTTTGGCCCGCTGCCTGGCCACGAGCAAAGCGTCCCTCGGGCCGAGCTGTTTGCGATTTTGAAAGTGCTTCAGGTCGGTAGGGCCCCTCTTGATATTAAATTAAGTCCGATCATTTGCCTGCCATTGAGGGTATAAACCTCCGCGGCCGTGAATGGTGCTTGGATGTTTCGCGTCAGAACCTTGATATTTGGCGCCAGATCTGGCGCGCGATAGACGATCACGGCGGCCTGCAGGATGATGTGCGGTCTTTCTCTTGGGTAAAATCTCATCAGACGGAATGGTCTGTTGAGAAGGTTGGCAATGATTT